TTTTTAGTTTTTAATCACAGTGTCCAGCTTTATTTACCTTTTCCCTACACAATAAGTCACTTAATACATTTTACTCTGTGTAAGCCTTATAAAAGGGGTTTTCTTTTGTATTATCTCAAGAACTGCTGCCTGTTTATGGAGCAGACAAGTGACTTCTGTGGGTCACCCACTTTGCATGGTTTCTAACAGTTTCAAAAAGCCAATGTGCATTTGTAAGATAGAAGACATATAGTAATTACTACTAGATAATTAACTTTATTGTAAAAGCTGTAGGTATGCACTTTCTTAAGAAACTCTGTATTGGTTTTATTTATCAAGCACCTCAAAATACTGGCCAACACCCAGATGAATAAAAATATAAGATGAAACAAATAACAAAAGGCCAAGTGTTCATGCTATCTGGAGTTAATCAGATTTTATTTATAGCCTTGTCAGCTGTGTTACTTATAAGTGTAGCTTTTAAACTTCCCTGAAATTAAAGTAAATTAGTATCATGGTTGTATTCAGCTAGCCGAGAGCATCGATACCCCATGAAGATGGAGGATGCAGAATGGCATGTTAAAAAAGGGCTTTCTGACAAACATGGAAGCAGCAGGGAGATGCTGCCAAATGTGCAGAAATTACATATTTTTACTGTATCTTCAACTTACTAGCAAAATATGTTAAATGGCAACACATAGTGGAGAATAGAAGGAAAGGATTTGAGCAGAAAGGTGTATAAGATTCCCAAACACATACCTTTCTGATTCCACATCATCTTTGTGATAAACTGCAAGAATCACTGGAACCGTACACATGACCCAGATGGCCTTCAGCGTGTGCTACAGCACAGCCTCTTCAGTGACAGATTCTAGACGCAGGAGGCAGCGATGTGTAGCTCTCTGGAGCCAGTCTGACAGCTGGGGAGACTAATCCTGTTTGGAAAGAAGGAAACATTGAATCCCTGAGATCCCCCTTAAAACCTGGGAGACAGACAGACTGAGGGAGTGAAGGTGGCAGGATGAGATGGAGGGTTCAATTTATGCTTCTTGCAGGTAGTGGCCAAAGATGCAACAAGAGATTTTTTTTCCTTGCCAGCAGAAGTTCAGAAAGAGATGGAAAAGGGTGAGAATGTGGAGGAAGGACGGCTAAGGACACTGTAGAGGGGAGACCCAACACCAACAGAGAAAATGTGTGCAGTTCTGCGTGTGACAACTTCAAGAAAACATGCACACCCTGAAAGAAATGTGCCCAAGAATCCCTCCGGTTGTTCCTTTGAATGTCTGTAGACAAGCTGGTAAATGAGGGAGCCCTGCTGTTTGCTCTGACAGCCAGAGAGAACACGCTGATGTGCTGCTGAGGCTGCACTGAAGGACAGGGAGGACCCTTTAAAGCAGCTTTGGAGCATTTCATCAAAGCTGCATGCCATGCCTTTGAAAAGAATTCTCTTTTTCTGTTTTCATTTACTTTTAATTTTGACAAGTGTTGTAGTAAAGCAATATTCTAAAAAAAAATTAAAAAAAAGTTTTTTTGCACCATAATAAACAGTAAAGAGCTATTGTTAAACATCTCTCATATTGATTAATTTATATTCACCTGCATTTTCTATTTCTTTCTATAATCATGATGCTCTAAAAACATCCATTCTTCAAAATGTTATTTTAAAGAAAAACATCACAGACAAAATACCAGTTTATTTTTTATTAGATTTTTGTTGTTTGTTTTGTTTTCATCTGCTAATGTAAACCAAAGACGTATTTATTGAATCCCCTCTGCAGCTCGGAAAGGTTCATTAAAAGGGTATACCAAATTAAAACTATGTGTCATTTGAACCTGTTCCTTCCACTGATAGATGACGCTCTTTGTTTGTTTCTATTCTTTGGAGATTGTATTCTATTGATTCAAGACTTAATTTCACAATGCAGACACAGAGTTCACAGCTTCACACACTAGAATAATTACTTTAGATATTTTATGCTTTCAAACTACATTAGGTGATAATGAGCTTTCTTAGAACACCGCGATAATACAGTAGGAGAACAAACACTGCTGTCATTGGATGAGGATTAACTTCTAATTGCTTCCTGTTCTTTTTTATTACTGTTTGAGGGAGCAGCTTAAAGTCTAAAAGCATAATTCTGTGTGCTGTCATAGAGAGAACCAATCATACTCTATCCCTCAAACTTTTTAAGTTTCACAAACACCAGTTTCAACGTATTTTTGGGGGGATTTAATGCATTAAAACAGCACTAAGAAGTACATGGGAGTGATTACTTATAGAAGGCTAAACTATGTTGTTTTTTGTATCCCAATTTATAACAATACTCTAAAAAAGTAAATCCTAGTGCAACCATTTGCCTCTTGTTACTGTTTTTTGTTTTATTGCCATTATAGTGTCACAAGTACAGAGCAACGAAATTCACAGACTGCATTTAACCCATCCAAAGGGTCTTTGCTCAGGAAACCAGAGTGGCAGTCTGTGGGAGTGGGGCTCAAACTCAGAACCTCAGGATTCCAAGCGAATGCCCTAACCACTAGGCCACCACTCCCCAGTAAATGCAGTAGCAACTATGTGTTTAATTTGATGCAGCTTTGTAATTTTGTTAGAACACTGTACTGTAGTGGCCAAAGCATTGTTCAGACCAAAGTCAAGTCAGAGCGAAACCTGTAGATGTTTATTATCAGTCGCCTCATAAAATACATGTTTAAGCTTTTAGCATCTGACAAGGCAATAATTCATGGTTGTCAATATGAAAATTAGCTAGAAGACTGGGACAAGTGTACTGAAAAGAAAATGATCATCGAAGGATAACTAAAAGAAGTCCAACCACCAGTCATTTATGGGGTATTTCTTGACTGATGAAAAAAGAAGTGAACTTCTACCTGCTAAGTGCGACAAATAAAGGGAAACTAACCCTGCAGATTGGCCTAAACACAATACAGTGAATTAAAGCTGTAACAGTGTCATACGTTGGGGATTAATGTCTTTAGTCGGGGCACAGAAGCTTGTTAGTGCTGGCAGGAAGATGGATGGAGCTAAATAATTGATTAATATTTGCTCTCTGTCTATTTGCTAAAACATGACTCAGTTGTATCTATTTTGCAGCGACTGGACAAGTTTCAGTCCCTTAATATGCAAAAATGAGAGAAGCTGTAATTATACAATCCTAGGAAGACTATTCTCATTTGTGATGAATTCAAACTTACACCACACTTTTCAGTTTTTTTCTTTTAAGTTATAAAAATAGCTAAGCTGTCATTTCTGTTGGTCTACCTATTAAAATTATTTAAATACACAGAGGTTTATGGTTTTTAAATCAAATATAAAGAGGGTTTCATACTTTACATGTAAATAAACATTTCATAGTGAAGAGTGTGAAAAAGGATCAGCTAATTTTACAGCATACTGTATGTACAGCAGTCCTACTGCACTTTACACCTAACAGTATATCTTCCTAATTTAAAGGCCATGGGTGGTTTGTTATAAGGACCATCTGTAAAAAGGGAACCTGTTGTCACTTAGATGACCTTTTTATATAGGGAGCTAAAGATAAAGATGCAATACTTCTGCAGACACAACAGGGAGCTCATTTGGAATGCATTTTTTCAAGGTATATAAAGTTTTGTGAGGAAAAATGTGAACGCACAATAACAGCTTGTATGTTTCTGTCGAGAATGTTTCATAAATAATAAAAAATAATGAAAAAAAAAACCTTTGAAACTTTCTGCAAATTTTAATGACAAATTACAATTTCAGGTTAGGCCTAAAAGTGACTCAAATAAAGCTTAAAGTAAGTCAATAAAAGCAGGGTTGTCAAAAGTACCAATATTCCCAAAAGAAACAAACGTTGTATCCAGATACAATGCTAACTTGGCGTAGTTTCGATACTAAAGACAAATGTTTTTTCCTTTTTTTTGCTATTGTTGGTTTTAGATTTCTGGGTTATCTATTTTCCATTTTTTTTTAACTATCTTTTTAAAATTAATTTAACTATGTGTGATTCTGTTCTTTGTGAGAGTTTAAACAATTTCGATTTTCCAAATTAGAATATTTTTTCATGCCTATTAATGCTTAGTTGTCATTTTTATCCCAGTGTTATCAAAAGGGTTTAAGGTATCCACTATTTTACTTGATATTGATATTGAGTATGAAATCTTAGTATCATGACAAACCTTAATAAAAAAAAAAAAATCTTTTCCATTTAGTCCTTTGCTCCACTGGTTGTTGAAGTCAGAGGGACACTATAGTGAAAAACCCAAGCAGCTGTTTTCTCGGTAGTAATTCTTGGTTTATTGAGCCCCTTGCAGGTTTCTCTCTTCTAAGAATATTACTGCTACTAAATTTTTTTTTTTACAGTTGGGATGGTATATTTGTAGGGATGCACAGAGTTTGTCCCTGTTCTAGACCAAAAAGTTGCATTCTCATTTTGTAAACTTTAATTCTCTTTGTGTTTCTTTCAGCACTTTCTTTTGCCATTGTTTCTGGATGCCCAGATTAGTGAATAGTTATCCTGTTAACAGATTCCTCCTCCTGAGCTGTCGATCTCTATCAGATCCTCCAGAGTAAACTTGGCTGACAGCTTCTCTGATTTTTGCTCTCTATGTCTCTTTTTAGACCTCCTCTTATGCCATATCCTTTCCACCTTCTAATGATCAATTGAACAGCAGCCTGTGAGATGTTCAAAGTTTCATTTAAAACTGCTTTATATTTCCCCGTAACGTTCTCCCCAATCTGTCTGTTTCATTCCTTGGTCTATATTAAGCTGTTTTTCCACTAATATTGCTAATAAGGGCAATTCTAGCTAATTTAATTGTATCATATTAAGGGGTTGGTGTGGTAGCAATAATAGAGATACATAAAAGGTATTTCAGAACAGAATCAGAAACTGTGTTCTTTTCCTTCACGCTTCACACAGTCTGGCATGACTTTGTTTTGATAAATGTTGTTTTTGGGAGATTATTAACATTTGAGAGTTTTTAAATGTGTTTACCTTCTAAATTGTCGACTGCCTTTATTTTAGCTGAGTTCCTGTTCCTGCTTTGGGGAGTGTACCTGTGCTATGCTGTCCGCACCATCCCCTCCGCCTTCCACGAGCCGCGTTACATCGCTGTGGCCATCTACAATGAGCTCCTTATATCGGCAATCTTCCACATAATCAGGTGGGTGCAGAAAAATGACCATGACAGCACATAATCATAAAAAGCACATAAGATCTGTTCATCAAATTGTTCCCTCATCTAAATATATGGGTGCTGAAGTCTTAACAGATCATTTAAGTGACAGTAGTTCAATATTAGTACATTGATGTCAAGCTCCTCACGGATTAGGCCCGTATCTGTGGCTCATCTTGTCGTTTTAACTCTGGAATTTAGATATCTGCTTTTTGGGGCTGTACAGACATATCATTTCAGAAAAAGAAGATTTTTATGCTGCTCTTTCGTCAGGGAAATGAACAAAGTCAGCAGAGTGCAGGGGGAGAGAGTTTAAAGGATAGCATAAATTATATCTTCCTCAGGGAGAGAAAAAGCAGAGATGTACCGTGCCAGGGACTAAAATAAACCCTGTTTGCCACATGCTGTTTGTCGATGCCAGTCTCTGTCGCACTGAATTAAACAGTAGCGCTTTCACAGACTATCATGAATGCATTTGGTAATTTTAAATTCAAAGGTTAATCAGAATTTCAACTAAACTATGAGCTGCACTTGAAAATTAGGGTTTTATCATTGCTCCTTCTAGTGTGTCAGTTTTGATTTGTAAAAAAGGGGAAAAAAAATTGTTGGACAACTGAAACCAGATTCATAATGCCGCAAATTCCAGCTGTATCCAGCCTTTAGGGATCTCTGTCATATTCTAAGGAATGCTTCTGACCCACACTCTGACACGTTCAGAGCAAACAGCTGTTAGAGCTCTCCAGGGGCCATGGAAATCGCACTAAACGTTATCAAGCTGGGTGACAGAAAGGGACGGTGATATTGTAACATCATCAGTGGTAGTGAGTTAAATCTATGTTAAAATTCCTTAGAAATCTTTGGGATTATTTATGATCTTATAGGAGTTTTTCTTTTATTCATTTCTTTTTTTTTTTTTTTATAAATCCTCGTTTATTTAAAGGGGATTTTCAAGAATAAAAAAGCAATCAGAAAAATGTTTTTGAATTTAGTTTTTTTTTTGTTTTTCATCCATCCATCATCTATCCATCCAGCTGTCCAGTGCACTCATCCATCCATCCATCCATCCATCCATCCATCCATCCATCCATCCATCCATCCATCCATCCATCCATCCATCCATCCATCCATCCATCCAGGTTCTTTCTTTTCCCTTAAGCATTCACTCAATAATTACTTGTATAAATTCCTCAAAATCAGTGTTAAAGTTGAACAAACCTTCTATTAAATGCTGATCAATAAACACTAGGGTTGTCAAAAGTATCGATACTCAAAAAAGTATTGATATTGAAATGTTGTATCCGGATACAATACTCGTTTTTAAAAGTATCGATACAGTGCTACCACCAGTGGTACCTAAGCAGTCATTCATCTAAAGTGCAGAATAGAGGACAATGCACTTACAGAACACTGTGTGATTGAATAATTCTACGCACTTTTCAGTTTCAGACTTTGTTTCTTAACCGGTTTGGCTGGCGTCATTGTTATGTGTGCAAAGCATAGCCAATGAAGGAAAACTTAATTTAGTTTTTTATCAAGCTTGCTTAATATTGCGCACAGCATACAACCTTTATTGTTTTTATTTGTTGTATTTTATTTATTAATGAAAATATTTTTGTAGAATTTTGGAGTCTTTGTTTTTATCCTTGTGGTATCGAAAATGGTATTGAATATTTTCCTTAGTATCGAAATTGAGTTGAAAAGTTTAGTATCGTGACAACCCTAATAAACACATTTACTGGCTGACTTGGCTCTCCTATCTATGGCCCTTCAAACACAGCAGCAGAGAGAGACTGATTCTTTGGCATTCTGACAATATATAAGCTTTGGTTTCCATATCACATTACAGGAGAGCTCTAACCTTCCACGTATCAGTGAAGACTATGTGTATTGCTGTAATTGCTCTGTCTGTGTTTCCTAAAAATGTTATGGCAAGACTGTTTACACTATCCGTGCCAGTGGGTTATCTCCACAAACAGTGTGAACTATTCAGTCATATACTGCATGTCTTCCAGCCAATGCAACCTCTGGCTATAAAAAGGAGCATTCAACAAATTCCTCCATCCTGGGCTGGTAGTAAGTCCATCTTAGTGCAGCAAATATAGACACATAGCAGTCAATCAGACATTATATTGCATCGTTTTTGGACTGCTGGAGGAGCCTAGTGTACCCAACCCAAATCCAGGCAAGAAAAAAAGGAATAGTATGGTTTCTGAAAAACAAAATGTTACCAGGTGATAATCCCTTTGTGAATTTAGTAACTGTCAGTATTTGAAGGTACATGTACATGTCATTTCACGCCTAAACCAAAAAGACCAAAATCTGGTAGATTATGATGAAATATGTCTATATAACCTAATGGATCCATCCTGATGGCATTGATAGTCATTTTTAACCTAAATAGAACCTCACCACGGTAAGCAGACATAAACAGATGTGGACCTATCTACTAGCAGTGCCACTGAACTACCAGAAAGCCAGATGTCGGCCATCGACACAGCTACTAAATAAGTCCTGATTGTGCCAAACATTTGGTCAAGTCTCAGAGAAAGCCAGCAGCTTGGAGGATAGGACTTAAAAGCTCTGCTAACACCAGTAGCACTGTTAGCCAGGACATGTACTCACATGTATATTAACTTGGCAGAGACATGAGAACACTTCCTAAGCTTTAGCTCCAATCTTAATAAACTTCAATGGTCAGACTGTTTTCCCAGTGCAACTAGAGTTTTATACATCTTGGAATCAAACATATTCTTGCACCTTTTCAAGATTAATCTTGGACTTTTCTTTTTTCTTGCTACATTAGGAGTTCCTTGCCTCCATTAAATTTGGAATGTTGACTAACTGTACACATGTGCAGTGACATAATCATGGTCCATTACGTTGTTATAGTAAATACACACCAAAAGTCTATATTTCATAAAGGATTTAGTAAAAGCAAAGCTTAAAAGACAAAAATAATAAATACTATGCATAAGAATATTGTATGCAACCAGACTAAATTGCAGGAATATAAATGTCAAAATTATAATGCTGTGACTATGCACCTTTAGGTGATCTTTCTGACCCCTGCTGACTTGTTCTTTCTTGTTTTTTTCTTTTGCTGGTGTAATTGAGGACTCTGACTTTACATGTACTCCACAAACTCCTCTCAAAAAACGTTTGGGTGTAAATGAGTCAAGCGTGAAGCTTTTGTTATCCTCTTAGAGGATGTCTTCTCTAATCTCACACATAACTTTTGGAGGGATTTTCTTTTGTCTTGTATCTTCCTGGTCCATTTAGATATTTATTAATACTTTAAGAAGTACATAAAATGTAAATATTGATCAAATTTATCTATGCATATTGGAGGTGTATCGGGGGTTGGGTTAGATGCAAAATCAGTAAAAACACAACAAACTAAAGCAGATAACCTCGGTAGTAAATGAAAGAAATAGAATTACCTTTGTGCCATTTTTGCAAATACCAAACCTGGATTAATTGGGTGAACTGCTAAAAATATGACATTTAAAAATGCATTACACTGTGTTTACAGTTAAATATAAATACATTTTATGTCAATTGGTTTAGTGAATTCTGTCTACTTTTTTTGGGAGTAAATAGTAACTTTCCTCACTGCGGACTTGGCAGCACTGTTGAGATTTAAACTGATGACATTTTTATTACCATGAAACATTTTAATCACTACCACACTGAGCTGCTTTGAATATTCTCTGCAGAGGCAGAGGCTCTGTAGAGCTACAAATATAATGCAGCACTAAAGACCATTTGTTATTTTTTGAAAAGCAACATTGAAAACAGAAGTGAAATAATTTGACAGATGGAGAAACGAATAAACAGACCACATGAATGAAATTCATGTTTCCCTGCCTTTAACTTCCCTTAACAATCTAGTGTTAGAATCATGCAGTTTTTTAGAAAGGCCAGTTAGCCTTACATGCAAAGGGGGACTGTCTGCTTTACACTTTGAGAAAGTTGGAGCACCTAGAGAAAAAAGCATTCATGCACAAGGAGAAAATGCACAGTCTATACAGTAATCCAAAATTCATAATTTAAAATCTAATATTTCATGACACATGTAATGTATTTAGCTTACTGTGCAACACAGACATCCTGTCAGTAGTATTTATTTATTTACTTTAAGTACTGGGGACTCTTAAGTTACCAAAGGGATGAACCTTAACAGCTGTTTGCAGCTAGTTGCCCAAGGATATAGGTTCATTTGTTACACATACTGCAGTGAAATTCCAGATCGACTGTTGGTTCTGGTGACCCTTTTAGAGATAAAAAGAAAAAAATCCCAATTTCTCTTGAATCATTTGAAAGCCATGCATTCTTTTGAAGCAAACACATATGGAGCAGAGGGAATATTGCATAAAAAGTTGTTTCATCTGATGAAATGAAAATGAACACCAATTTAAATAGGACTTTCTGTAGAACCGAGATAAGGCTAGATTTGTTTGTCTCTGTGAAATTAAAGACGAGAGCCCCACTCAGCTATTTTAGTGGTTCTCAAGGCAATGAGCACGTTTGATCTCAGATATTCGGCATTATTTCTTACTGAACAAAACAAGGTCTAATGCTGCCCAAACTACCTGTTTGATTTACAGTCATAGTTGCCATTTGTATTGCATATGCATTATTATAGACTTTTGCAGAGTCCTTTTACAAATGAATGCAAACTAAAAAACTTTAATGAATGGAGCCTCAACAATTAGAACCGTTTTCAGCATGTGAGACTAGCAGCAACCTGTTGCTGTTAGAGGAGATCAGCTGTAAGTCATCGGTCTGGATTCCATTTAGTCAGCCACAAAGCTTAACCTTGCACAGTCAGGACACATTATTTCTGTGATCTTTAAGGTGCTTCAAAACGAGATGACGATGAAAAACATTACAAACTCAACTTGAAGGTTTTCCTTTAGAGTATTTTGTGTTGAAAGTAAAGTGCCAAACATTCAAGGTGTGTTGTTTTTCTTGCAAAAATTGCCAAACTCTTTGACCTACAAAATGTGCTGAGCTGAAGGCCAACAGAATCATGTCAGCATGAAGACGTCAAGCACAAAATATGTAAATCAGTGGTAGGCACAAGTATGTTACCTCTGTCTAAAAGTGCATCAATGCTTAATTTGTTTGTTTCAAAACTGCCAAAAATGTTGAAAGTCATAAGAGCAGAGTTTTATCTGGTTACATGGAGCAGGTCATCTACTTGTTGTTATGCACTACCAATCAGCTAACTTAAGCAAGGATCCTACACTTGGCTCTTATGGCACAAAGGTGTCCTTACTCTGTAAGTCATACATCTGGTATACATTGTTCAAATTAAAATCTGTACATACAGTAGAGATACAGGGTTGTGCGCAATTTAGTTCAGCTGAAATTTTTTGTTCCTCTGACTTCTTTGGGTTTACATATTGTGATGTTTAGTTTAGAAAACAGAACAACAATTTTCTCATCTCATTAATTTTGATTAGTTGATTAGTGGCTCGTTTGTGTTAATTTAACTGTGACCTCAAACCTCACTTTCAATTTTAGATTACCTGCTGTGGACAGTAAACTTAAATTAAGTCATTCAGTTTTAATCAAGCTAAATTGAACATGCTAATTTGGATTTTTTATTTTTTTTTTTACCATCATGCAGTATCTACACACTAATATTTTGTTCTCTAAGTATACTGCTGACTTTAAAAAAATATGCTTAGGAAGGATCAACAGATGCAAGTTGCATGTTTGCAGTATCTACACAATACTGTAGTTCTCTTTAAGACATGAAACAAAAGTAAAACTACAGATGCTTAAATAGATCCAGATTCTAGATGTTTCTTTTTTTAGTGTGGATATATGCAATATTTTAGCAGCATTAAAAAATATAATTGCTTGACTGTTTTAAATAAAACCATATGTTTTTGTTTTAATCCATAATAAAACTAAGCTCTGTTGTTTTCTGAAACTCTTGAGTATGCTCTGTTCTCAGCTGACAGAGGGCTTAGGATGAATTTAATTAAAAACTTTTCCTTTTGACGTTTTCCTGCAGGTTCTCATTGGCTCCTGGGCTTCACCCCGACTGGATGCTCATGTTATTCTTTGCTCATACTCATCTGACTGTGACCGTAACTCTGGCGCTGCTGCTTGTTCCAAAGGTAATGGCATGTGGTCACTGACAAAATGTCAACCATCGTTACATGTGGTTTTCACATCTATACAGTAGGCCACCTTTTCATGTGTGCAAATATTTGAGTGCTTTTGTGTTTCTTATTTTTGGTTTTTGGTTTCTGTTATATTCCAATGACGAGTCAATGCAGCAAAATTATATTCGAATGTGCAGCAACCAGTGCATGTCTTTAAATTACTGTCAAGTATTCTATTCTATTCTATTCTATTCTATTCTATTCTATTCTTTTCTATTCTATTCTATTCAAATACTAAATATCAGATTTTTTGGCTAAGTATCCAGAGCTTTGTTACCCTCAGAGGATGAAACTTGTAGAATAAAGCAGAGAAGGCGTGATCCCTTTATTACATGAATCATATGTGCAGCTAATCAAGATACACAAATAAAACAGGCGACTTACAGCTTCTTATTTTTAGATTTTAGCAATGTTGTAACATTAGCAAACTAACAATTCTTCCATTTTAACTTTTTCTCTAGATTTTTTGGGGTGGATTTAAAATGTTAAAAGTGCAAGACATTATTTAATCACTGCCATCCTTTTAATGCTTTTGTGGTTATTTAGAGTTTTTTAATGTTTACTAAGAAACTTTTTTGAAGACTAAAGAACAACAAATGAACTTTCTCTCCCAAGCAGATTAACCTTATACTGTGCATTTAGTTTTAAAGAAGTGTATTTCACAAAAAAATTACATGACATAAAAAAAAGCTTTGTATTAAAGTGCAAATTTTTACTTCAGACATCCAAAATATATAAGGTTTTGCTCTTATTAGCTGTTGTTACACCATGGGGGAAAATGATTAATCTTCATCATTCATGAAAAGGTTTGTTAATCCTAAGAATACCAAGGTTGTTAATGATAATAGATATGTGTACTTCCCCATTAATTATACACAGTTTTTTCTACTCATAGTGTAATACTATAAGGTATACATTTTTATGTTTTATGTAATCTCCCTCTGGAGTCAAATTATTTGAAGCAGCAATCCCTTTTTGTCAAGAAAGAAGTAATCACCTTCACTGCATAAGAAGGTTAGGGGAAAAGAATGGGGAGAAATGGAGCGACCTAAATAGATATAATAACCTATATTGATTCTGACTAATAAAGTGGGCCAGGCTTGATAAAAGGCAAGCATGTCTTTAATCATGTCTGTAGAGCAGCAGGCCCCTTAAAGTAGAGTTGGACACAGCCTATTACAGACACCCAGCGGGTGTGACACACACCTTTACAAATATCACTGAGGTAGAACCAACAGGAAATGTTTTTATGGGCCCATTCTTCATTCTTTGCAATGCCAGCGATGGAGCTCTAAGTACTAAATCTTTACTATAAAAAGAAGTATTATTTAAAGTTTGGTTAAAGGACTGACTGTATCCAGGCAAGAGATCTGAGTTGAGATTTCAAGAATCTGTTACACAGGATCCATCTTTGAGTATTCGAGCTCTAACTCTGAGTTACCCAAAGCCACCTTTAAAGCAACTGTTGATAAAAAAGCTGAAGCGAAAAGCAACAGTTACACTTACTGACTTTAGAACTTTTTATGTTCTTGTTTAAATGTCATGCTTTTTTCACGTAGACGCATTAAATGTGTAAATGTAATATTATATTAGTAAAATCTTGATTAGTTATTTATGGTAAATGGTAAATGGTATGTACTTATATAGCGCCTTTATTCAAGTTAGGAGACTTGACCAAAGCGCTTTACACCACATTCATTCACCCATTCACGCGCACACTCACACACTGATGGTGGCAAGCTACATTGTAGCCACAGCTGCCCTGGGGCTCACTGACAGAAGCTGGTATTGTGCATGCAGTCTGACCTACAATTTGTTGTTGTATTGATACATATCCGAAATATAGCGGCTAGCAACTAGCACTGCAGCTAGCAGCTAGCAAGAAGGTTGTGGGTTGGATTCCCGGCCCGGGATCTTCCTGCATGGAGTTTGCATGTTATCCCTGAGCATGCGTGGGTTCTCTCCGGGTACTCCGGCTTCCTCCCACAGACTGCTAGGTTAATTGGCTTCTCTAAATTGGTCTTAGGTGTGCGTGTGTGTGTGAATGGTTGTTTGTCCTGTTTGTCTCTGTGTTGCCCTGCGATGGACTGGTGATCTGTCCAAGGTGGACCCTGCCTCTCACCAGTAGACAGCTGGAGATATGCACCAGCAACCCTCGCGACCTCACCCGGTATAAAGTGTGTCAGAAAATGGATGGATGGATGGATGGATGGATGGAGAAATATAGCCTCTGACTGGAAGGCGAAAGCAAGGAAAATTATGATGTTATGATTGAGCAGATGAATTAGGATAGGTACGTGTTCCCTCTGGATAGGGGAATGGAGGCCAAAGGAGGAAGGGAGCCAGATGAAAGCGAGGCTGATGGTCGAGATGGAGTGGAGGGGGGCTGCAGCTCGATGGTGGAGAAACGCCAGTTAAATGAACACAGGCTTTATTAACTAGAGTCATAAATGGTGATAGGCCATCGCACAGCTGTTTACAGCACTGATATACTGCAAAAAAAACTAAGTCCAATGCCCCTAATTTCAACAGGTAAATAAGATGATCTATCACTTGAATTAATATTTTCCCCACTGTGTACTTTAAATAAGATAATAGAGTAATTTTATTTTAAGCATATTTCTTATTTCACTGACAAATGTTCTAACTAACCTGCTCAAATCAAGAGAAAATGCCCTTACAGTATTTCAAGAAATATTGACTTACCTATACTTAAGTTTTTTGCAGTGCAACAGCTGAACATTAGAGGGATAAGAGTTGGGGGTGTAGTCTTTCAGTCTGAATTTTTGCTTAAGCTTAATTTAAAATTTGGATATTAAAATGTGACGTCATATATAGGGGAAAATCTGTAAATTAAGTAGGTTTGATTGATTTTACAAAAATGAACAATCAGTAGCTTTAAGTAGCTTTCCTTATTTTGTATGTCACTAGTGAGTGATAAATCTTATCTTTTTTTAGTTTGTAGCTATTTAAGAAATAAAAATACATTAAAACTGTTCACAAATTGTGTAACAGCCTGTCTATAAACTAAAATATTCGGACTGGGAAAATGTTGCTTTGTATTAAAGGATGGATGGCATTCAGGAAAACTTCCATTGCTGGCTTCTTCATACTAATGTGTTATAGATATCCATTTACAACACATTTATCATCCTAATTCTGTTTGATAGTTGCAAGCTGTGAGGCACAAATCCACACTGGCTCATTTACTATCATTACCTTAAACTCAATCAGTCTGCCTAAGTGCTTATTGTAATTTAGCTGAGTACTCCTGCGGGTGTCTTTAGGGCTGATGGAAAACATTTCTTTCTCCTGCTGCGTGAGAAATACGCTCCCTCTTCTTTTATTCTTTCTTAATTAGGCTCCTCAGAAGCGCAAGTCCATTGAGCACACTAGGATAATTGAGCGCAATGGGAGGGCATTCATTTCATGGAGCATCTGTTCACGGAACCCGACTAAATATTTGGACATCTTCGGTCCTCACAAGTGTAATTCCAATAAAGGTGGAAATTTAATATCTGTTTATTGTGCTGCTGTAATATCTGGACTTTATATTTCTACACAAGTGGAAAAGCACCTGGAATTGATTTTGATCAAAGTTTTTTTGGACACAGAAAAAAAATTATTTAGTAAAAAGTTTAACGTAAAAACAGCCATAAAGAGGGACTTCAATCATTTCACTGTTCCTGTTTTATTTGTCAGTTTTTCCTCCAAAGACCCGTCCTTTTAATAAAAGGCAATAGCTTAACGTTTCATGAAAA